GCCAGTGCTTTGAATGTTTTCGCAAGCGTTTCCTTCGAGCAGCACCGGGATGTGCCCGCGAGAGCCTTGAGGACATTGATGCATCGGCTCACTTTGCTTCCGACCCCACTCTCATGGTTTGCGATCGTGAAGAGCGGATCTAAACGTATGTCAATGGGCTTGGGCTTACGGACTAGAAGTAAATACTCACCGTTGACGATGATAGCCGGGTGGCGATTAAACTCTATCGGGTCCAGCGTAAAAACAGTGACGTACGACTTGGCTGCCGACTTGGTCAACCCGTGATGAATGTAGAAGTCCACGACATCAGGCATAGACTCCGAGAGGACCTGCGCGGCCTGATCAATGTGATGGTGCTGGCAGAAGAAGGTGACATCATCCACGTATGATATCATTTTGGCAGGTGTTGGAGAGAGCACCACTCAAAGGGACATGATCGTAGCCGCCAAAGATGTAAACCGCCAACCATCGGACCAAGCCAGTCGGAAAGCTTATAAAGGCAGACGCAGTCAAAGGCTCGTGACAGGTCAATTGAGACTGCCACGGTCCGCGAAGCGGGCTTCTGTGGACTGAAGCCCTCGAGGGTGGTGTCGCTGAGCTCGAAATCGCTGTTGTTATGCCACGACCCGATCTAAAACCATATTGATGTCTAAACAAATCCCCTGCAAACGTCAGAATTGGGTAGAGGAGTCGTTTCAGAATCTCCGCCAGTTAACTGAGGCGGGTAACCGAAAGGTACGAGGTCGCATGACTGGGGTCCTTGCCAGCTTTGACCACTGGGAAAAAGATGGACTGGCGCCAGTAATCGGGGATGATTTAACTAGCCAGTGAAAGGCTGAAAATCGCAGGTAGGTAGACAGCCACTTTAGAGCCGATTAACACAAATGGAGAGGTGCCAGGCCATCTGGTCCAAAGGCTTTTGAAGCTTTCGTTTTCTTGACGGCGTGAGTTTAGTATGACGCTTGCACTTAACTATCTACATGGGGGTAATTTCGGCAGAATCAACTTCGAATACTATTTTTGTATGCAGCCACAGTACTTATTTAAAAAAAATTCGCCGCTAAATTAAAAACTTTAACTGCTTCAGGTTTTTAGATTGCTGCTTGTGAAACGTCCTCCTGAAATTAGCTATCTTATCCGGGCATCAGCGATGAGAACAAGGACGGTTGAATGCAACATTCCATCCAACCGTCAGCGAATGACGTGTTTATCAGTTGAAAGCTTTCGTTTGTCGTGTTAATAATAAGAGACTTTACCACAGATGTTGATTGTGTAATGTAATATTTAACAGTAGACGAACAGTCAAGGGACTCCAGGAACGCAGTTTCTAAAAGGGCATAAGGGAGAATTTAAAATACTATTCAAAAGTTTCCAGCTTTAAATGAGCGAGTCTAAGTGTTTGACGATGAGGTATCCCGTTGTCATTGTTTTTCCTGTGAAGAAAGAACGTTTTGAGATGCAGAAAAGAGTTTTGCCGCGCGATAAAATATCGATTTCTAAAATCGAAGCACTCTAATATAAAATTCACCAGACGTTATTCCGCCCCAACGCCTAGGTCAGTTTGAGGCCATTATCCTTATCGCGATGCTGCTCATACCGTCAATTTATTAGCTTCACGCAGACGAAGAAGGACATACATAATTTATTAACATCGAAAATCTTCGTGAATTTCATTGTGTGCATTAACAATACATTAATGGAAATCAAGACATGCCACGTCCTCCCCTCACATTATTGCGAAAACATTTTTTTGGCATCTTCTTTAAGTCTGCAAAAGCAAAATTGCTAAGAGTACAGCCGAAAATGGAAAACCTATCAGACGACGACTGTCTACATTGCAAATTCAGTTGAAAATACATATGATATATAAATAAGTATTTGAAGAGTGTAAAAACAATAAAAAAATAATATTTTTTTACAAAAATGGTCATGCGACAACCGACAAATAAAAGACAGAATGCCAAAATAATGAAATGAATCCCAACAGAAAACAATATAGCCACTTTATAGTAAGAAACCGGTCAATTACCACACGATAGATCAGCCAAAGAATATAATAGCGGTATGTGGGCTGCCAGCATCTAAAAACCGATTTTGTGAGACGCATTATTCTAGGAGAGTTGCTCCTGAAGACAACTCTCACACCCTAGCGTATCATTTATAAAGGTAATACATTTATATATTTGCAGGGCTTGTAGAAGCACAGGCCCTTGTGCAATAGAAAGCATAGTGTTTGTTCACCGCTCAAAACCCAGGAGTTTAAACGAATATGCTTTCGCAGACGTAAAGTAAGGATATTTTGGTTTGGTTTGCAGTTCTTACTAACCAAACAGCTGATTGAGGAAAACGTATTTTCAGTCTTCTGCATAATTTGAAAGTTTAGACAAAACTTTTGTCAGAAATGTAGAAAATTGTATTCTCCCTGGAAAAAACGTAAATTCTTTACCCAATGCGATCCGTTCTTGCACAGGGCAGTGCGCCGAAAGGTTTATTTTACTGTGGAAGTGATGCAAAGTCCGAATGAAAGTCCTATCTGTGAATGAAGCAACTCCACTGGGAACGTTGGCGACAGTGCTTTAGTGTGCGTTGACGCAGTAACCGTTATCCTTTACGTCACTTGGCGAGGCCTGCGATCGAGCTTCACTTAGCCGTGAAGTGTGGTAGACCATCCTTTTTCAGGTTGTTAACTACCATTTGTAAAACACGTAAAAACCTGCTGACCGAAAAGTCGGCAGCGGTGTTTGCCGACGGCAGCACATCGTTAAGTCATGGATGAGGTCGTCATGTCCTGCTGCGGTTTCTGCGCTTTGCTGTAAATAGAATGTAAAAGCTGAATTTGCTACATTTTTTTCTTACTCTTTGCCGATTCGCAAGGTTAACTTTCTGAGATAATATCCCTGAGTGAGCGACTAATAAGAATTTGAACTTTAGGTAACTGTGCATGGCCTTATGTGTGAGGGACAGCGGAAATTTAAAAAAAAGTGGTAAAAGTCTCGTTTACAGAGGTTGGTCCGTGACTTAATCCAGGGGAAATGATAAAAGTTGGCCTAACGTTTCACTTTCTCACCTAAAAACATCATTAAAGGCTATCAAGGATCCTTATCTGCAACTTTCTATGGGGGTAAGTTCGAAAGAGATTCCCAAACAGCAGAACAATAGATGATCTCTTCCAGCACTCGCATCTTCCCTTCCAAACGAAGCCCATAGCTTTTCGTCCGTTCATCCAGGATAAAGCTTCGTACTGTATACCATCGACAGTATACACAGCCAGTTGCCTTCTCTCCAGTTCTGGGATAAGGGTAATATGCTTCCTTTAACCGCGTGTATGTAAAGATTTAGCGGAAGTCTTTTAGAAAACACTGAAAGGCTTTTGCTAAAAAGCTGTTGTAAATGTGGTCAACGCTGCGATATCGCCGACAAACTACGCCTCGTGCGAGTTCCCAAGGAAGAACACATCACGAAGAGCGCAAATATAGAAGCCTTTTTCCATACCTCGTACAGAGTATTTAAAGCAAGCAAGGCAAACAATATTTGAGCAGTCAAATTGTGTCCTTGAGGGGTAACGTTCCGACGGACTGTCGGGTTGGATACAGTGATAAAGCAGAACCCTAATCATGGCCGATCGATCTCATCAGTCACGCGGCTTCTATCGATCGATAATGCACCGTTGGATGAGTAATCAGGGCAGCGTAATAACTGATCGTTAGGCCTGCTCCTTACAAAGGGACGTGCAGGAAAGTAAATAATGCACAGAGGACACCGGAACCTGATTGCCAGGACGATTGAATAATTGTTGTGTTCTTTCACATGACGTGTGGTTGGGGAAAGGATTGCAAGTGCGGAGTTTTGATTAAATTGGTGGGGAGGTGTGATCAGTTAGGCTGACCACTTTGCATGGGGTAAGGAGATGGTGATGGGGTTGAGTGGACGGTGGCTGTCAGGTATTCTGATGCATTGTCTGTCGCTGGATCCGACTATGCACTACAAGATACCAGGTTTGAATTAAAGCTTGCTGTGTACGTAAACAAGCTCTATTTGAACGCCTGACGTTAGTCCATGTCATCCTGGTTGCGCGCTTACGTAGCAGCCGTTACACCTCTGGCCAGGATGGCCATCAAGGTTGACTTAGTCGTGTCCTGCTCACGATAAATGTTGTAATGTTAGTGTCCTTGTGTGGGCGCTACTGTAAAAGTTCCATTACCCGCTTTTACGCCAATGGTTCTTTCATCCCAGCGCAGCTAGAATATCCATTATGACAATTTTCCCTGTCGAACTACTAACGCATAATACTATAATCACTTAGCTGTCATACTGAATAATCAGCATGCCCATGACTGTGGGCATTTTTGTAAAAAAAATGATTTTTACTCTGCCCTCTGCGATATCAATTTCGCGTAAAAAACTGGGCCTGAACTCGGCAGTTGGTAGCTGTATTTAGTGAGCCACACGTTACAGTCATTACGCACTTTTTTTCATCTCTTTTTGTGTAGTTCCGTCGGTTCATTGACTACTGACTAAAGTTTGTAACAAGCAATTATTGCAGAATTTATTTGATCAAATACATTTCGGGACTGCTCATCAGCTGCAGCCTGTCTTTGCATGGGATTAATAACAAGTGGACAATACTGAATAAAGGTTGTACTATAGTTAACCCCAACAAATGCCACAATATTACAGTTCGAATGCTTCTTAAGAAGAGGACCCACAGAATTCTTCATGGCTGATTCAAAGTAAGCATCTGAATAGAGCAGTAATCAGGGTTGAAAAGTGATAGTTGTGTACATGCCCCAGTTGGTCGAATATTCGTAGCACAAAATAACTTAAAAAGGTAAGGTGATCCACACTTGTCCTACTAACATGTACAATTTACCAGAAGTTCACGAAACTCAAGCGTTTTTTTAAGCGACCAGAAAAATTTCTTTGTGTAGCATATGCCAAGCGGAAGCATTTCGATTAACAATTGGACATACATACGAAACCGAGGATGCACTTACGCATATTGAAGGCTAAACTGACTGTGCATAAATAAATTTGGGAACATAATGAAAACTGATTAATCGCACCCTAAATTTAAAAAAAATACGGTCTGTTCAACATGCAGAAGTGTTCGAGCGTCTGAGTAACCTGCTGTTAAACTGCAATTTCCCATCTAAATTGCTAGCAGGATTGTAAGATATGAACAGAGAAGCAGGAAAGTAGGAAGATAGTAGAGAATGGATATGCTCTCGGCACTTGATTTCATGCCATTAATCAAAGACAAGAGCAAATGTTTGATTATTAGCTTGTTGGTAATTGAAAGACAGATCGGAATTTACCCCAAAGTAAAATCTGCCTTAAGGTCGCTTGGCACGCACGGCCACGCCTTTCAGGGAAAAAAGTAATGAGTCGATAGGTA